ATGTCAAGAAGTGGGATGGAAGCTACCAATTTGCTCTACATTATCGGTTACAGCATCCCATCTGGCGAGGTGAGCGACCCGACAGGTTTTTTTATCTTTGAAACAAAAATTGTTGCGCGTCCAACGCCTTACAAATGCTCTAGAGTCTAGAGCGCCCTGGAATCATAATATGTTTTAACTACTGTACATGTATATTATTACAATAGCCTAGGTTGCTTCGAAGTTTCCGTGCAATGACCTTTTGAGGATGGCTGATGGGTGCTCTTGTTTGTACCTTGTTCTTCCTTAAACTGTCAGCATTTCTACTTGTACAGTATTGATTTCATTCATAAAGAAACTAAATGACTTCGCTTTCATGCGGACAAGCGGGTGGTTAAAGGGCGCCACTGGTAGGTCCTACTTCTTTTGTTTCCCTCTGTAGCTTCTGTCTGTCTATCTGTCTTGCGTTTTCCCTGCATGGAATCGCCGTAAATGTATCGTTGAGCTTATCATTACTCAATTAAACTCATGTGGAATAGCCGTTAAATCTTGTTCAATTCATCCCTTAAATTTAGTTAAACTTATTCCTGCTATCTTATTAAACTCATTCCATAGATCTTGTTAATTTCATCCCTTCTATCTTATTAAACTCATCCCTAAGAACGTGTTATATCCATTATCACTTCGATCTTGTTAAATCCTTCACTTCGATCTCGTTTACATTCATCCCTTCGATCTTGTCAAACTCATCTCTCAGATCTTGTTAAGATAAGAATATAAGATTATGATAAGATGATACTTTATTGTCCCAGTGGGTACTCTGAATACCTGGTATTACTTGTATAGAGTTGCGGTAGGGATCGTTAAAGCAGCGTGTACATTACCCCGTTACCGAATTTCTAGGTATCCCATTCCTTTGTATCTAGCCGGGGAAAATGAAATGGGAAGAAGAATAAGGAATGAAATAGATCTAGACTGCCAGTGGGTTGTGGTGTGAGTTGATAATTTGCACGGTGTGGAAGAAGGGTTAGAGGGGGTGATATTATATTTGTTGGGTGGGTTTTTTGTTTTGTTAGTTATCTTTGTTATTGTTTTTTATGCGCGCGCGCTGTGTGTGTGTGTGTGTGTGTGTGTGTGTGTGTGTGTGTGCATCTGTGGAT